TTTTTCCCATCAATGTACAAATACTTATATCAAGTAATGACATAAGGATAATAAATATTTATATAATTTTATAAGTAATAGCAAAATTAATTTATAGCATAATTATTATTATATAAGTACCAATGTATTGTATAGAACTGCTACAACTGTATAGATAATTGTAATGGCAAAATGATGTAAATCAGAAGCCAAAATAAATAAATAAAAAAAATATAAAAAAAAAATATATTAGAACTATAGTCAGAATTAAAAATAAAATCTGAATTATTTTCGATATACAAAAAATTAAAAAAAAAAGTTGAAACAAAAATTTTTTTTCCAAAATTTATTATTTTGTTAAGACAAGCAGAAAGTTCTTTGAATCATTTAAATCGGACTTAGTTCTCTCAAAAACTGCCATTTTTTACATATTTAGCTCCGTATCTTCGAAATGGCTGGGCCTGCCTTTGCCAAAAACTAATAAACATTTCTCCCAATCATTACTAATTGAGTGTGTTTTAAATCATTCAAATCGGATACTCCGTTCTCTCAAAAAGTCGATTTCTATTTTCTGCACTTTTTGCTCCGTATCTCCGAAACGGCTGGACCTGCCTTAGCCTAAAACTAACCAGCTCACTATACATAGTAGACTCGGTGCTAAATCTTATATCTTGAAATGCAAAAAGGGATTCCAGAAAGCCTGTGGATGCAGAAAATCTGGATTGAAGTGCTCCGTTATCTGTACGAATTGTAGTAGTATCTGTGATAATTAACAAATTCCATCACAAGATAGGGACGAAGAGGAAGAAACGAACACTATTTTCCAAGAGGATTGAAACAATATGAGGATACCACGATAAAAAACTAAAAAAAATTACGTATATTTTTTTATTCATTTATTTATTGAAATTAATAATTTAACTACTCGTCCGTTCAATGATACCATTATAACAAGTACATCATAACAATGTTAATATGTTAGAATTTTGCTATTATTTATTTATTTATCATTTAATTTATTTACATTATTACTTTTAATTAATTTATAAGTATTTTTACAATATAAGTTTTAAGTTCAACAAACCCATAAGAATATTTTGATATTTAGTATGTACTGTTGGTTTAACAAAATAAAAAATATTGAATGAGTTTTTTCTAGTTTAATATCCTATATAGCTTTTTTGCCATTAAAGTGTTCAATTATCAGCAAAAAAAAATTAAACTATTTTGTTTCTAGACCTTATTCGCTTAATTTAACATTAAAAATATTTATTTATTAGATAGAATGTGGTCAAGTTCAAAAAGCAGTCGAATATAGGGAAATTCTACATGGCGCGAGAGCAGAAACGTCTTTGAGGCCGTACTTCGAAACTATTGATTTTACAAAAAAAAAAAAACGGGTTTTAAATGAATTGTAGGAAATTTTATCAAGTTTAATTCGTACATCAGTTTTGCTTCAGCTGCGAAGCAGTGCACATTGTTCAGTTATACCTGCGAATAATCCGGTTTTATACCTGTAGTGTTTACGTACCCTGTAGGGGTACGTGAATTCAATAATCACGCTATTGATAAGCCATTGTTATCAATAGAAGTTATTCAATAGTGCAAGTGAAAACAACAGTGTTTGAAGCACTCGGCTGGGGTCAGTAATCATGAGTGCTCAAAAGTCGTTTACAAAGCGCTTGAAACCTTAAATAATGATAACGAAAGTGATTTTGACAGTATGGAGGAAAGCGACGAGTTTGTTGACGATCCTATTAATGATCCTATTAACTATCAACCAAGTACATCCAATGCCAATGTTGATTGGCAAGTTGTTAATCACAAGAAACGAGCAGCAACACCCACGGAGTCTTCTAGAAAACAGGCCAAAGTAAATGATACACCACGTTACTGGTTAAGCAGTCCCGCAAAAACAAGCAATTTTTTCGATGTTTTACAAAATATACCTGAGCCTGCAAATGAACTGAAAACAATTATTTATAAGCCACCATCTATTTTCGTACATAAGGTTGATGACATTAAACCTTTAACACGATTACTTGATACGCACGCACCTAAACAACACACTATTAAAATAATAAACAATAACTCGGTAAAAATACAAGTTGCTGATTCGCAAACGTACAACAAAGTTCTCAAACATTTGAAACTAGAAAATTAGAAATACGGAAATGCACTCGTTCCAGGACAGAAACGCGAGAACCTTTAAGGTAGTTATCAGAAATCTTCACCACAGTGTTGATATTAATGACCTAAAAACAGAGATTGAAACACATGGCCACACTGTAGCGCGTATTGAAAATATGATGCACAAAACCAAAAAAGTTCCACTTAATCTGTTTTTGGTTGAATTAGAACGAAAAAACAATAACAGCGAAATATACAAAATTGAATTCCTAAACCGAACAAAAATCATCATCGAAGCTAAACACCGAAAAAAAGAAATACGACAATGCAAAAGATGTCAAAGATATGGTCACACAAAATCTTATTGCTATAGACAGCCAAGGTGCGTAAAATGCGCAGGTGATCACATTTCGAAAGAATGCGAATGAAGAGATAAAATCAATGAAGGAGTAAAATGCGTACTTTGTAAAACTGGAAATCACACAGCCAACTATAAAGGGTGCGAAATATACCGAGAGGCCGTAGCACGAAAGTTTCCACCCCTTCAAAAAAGAACAAATAAAAACAGAATAAATTATTCTACAGTCAAACCAGGTACATCCTATGCTCAAGTGATTAATTCACAAACCCGTAACACCGGTAACAACAACAACAATGAAAATATCGAAAACACACCAAACTCACTAAATACCCATCGAAACGATATCAACGAGTTGAAATCAATGTTGAAGACACTAGTAGATCGGATGAGCGTTATGCTCAATCTCCTAACAGCCGCTGTACAAAACCGATTGAATTAATGGATTATCTACGCATAGGAATATGAAACGCAAACGGTCTTCTGCAGCATCGCCAAGTACTTCAATATTTTCTAAAGGAACAAAATATAGATGTAATGCTCATTTCAGAAACACACTTCACCTGTAGAAGTTTTCTGAAAATTTCAGGATATATTATTAACTTCCCGTAGGGTAAGTTATAGTAATCGCAAAAAATCGAAAATGAAAATTTTTATATATCTTTACATTTGAGAGGTTTCTGAATATTTTGGCATACCTTAAAAAAAATGAATGTATGTGTGTGTGTGTGTGTGTGTGCGCGCGCGTAGTATGTATGTGTGTGCGCATACAAATTTTCGTCGACGATTTCGGGAACACGGAAGAAGCAATTTGAATAATTTAAAAAACATTCGATCCGTATTGATAAGGAGACGTGCTGATTAGTTTTTGGCGGAGGTAGGTCTAGCCGTTCCGAAGATATGAGGCAAAAAGTGCCAAAAACGGTACCTCAGTTTTTAATAGAACGGAGCGTCCGATTTCAATAATTCAAAAAACATTTTACTTGTATTGACAAGATAAAGATTTGATCAAATTTTTATAAGGGCAGGTTTAGCGGTTTCGGAGATATAACAAAAAAGTAAAAAAAAAAAGCCATTTGGCGGTCAAAAATGATTATTAGACATATGCACATCAAATTATCAGATATTTTATAGAGATTTTAACAATAATTATAAATTTTGTTTACATTCCTATGAGTTCCGTACCAATGTTTACCCGTTAGACAGCGACGCGGCGCCTACGCGCTTTATATTTTGTCTCTATGCATTTAAAGCAGTACGATTGCTTTGAAAAAAAGTTCAGATCTTCCAACATATATCAAAATAAAGAAAACATTTTTTTTTTCAAAAAAAAAGATTTAAAAAAAAAAAATAAATAATTTTTTTTTCAATTTTTTTTTCAAAAAAAAGTAATTTTTTGTCAAATTTATAGTTTCTCAAAAATCTTATTTTTTCGAAGTAATTTTTTTTCAAAAATGTTAATCGTTTTTAAAAAAAATAATAATTTTTGGTACGGGAAGTGCCAGCAATTTGCCTTAAGGCACGATGCCCTAATTGCTTTAAGACAGAATTTCACTTACAGCTAGTTTATAATTCTAATTATCCAGATGGTTCAGCTCATGAGGGTAGCGCAATTTTAATTAAATCTTCAATAAAACACTATCCATCAACATTTATCTCTTAAGACTACATCCAAGCCACAAACATCGTAGTAGAAGAGTTTTGTAGTAAGATGACTATATCTGCAGTCTACTTGCCACCGCGGCACAAAATCACCTTTGATAATTTCAAAACATTCCTAATTGAATTAGGTGCCAAATTCATCTGTGGAGGCGATTTCAATGCCAAAAATGTTCAATGGGGTAGCACACTTAATAATCCAAGAGGCAATGAATTACTTAAGGCAATTCAGTCCAACAATTGCTCATGCAGTTCGACTGGTGAGCCGACCTACTGGCCTAGCGATCTGAACAAGATTCCAGATGTATTAGATTTCTGTATTTTTAAAGGCACTGGAAGTCATCAACTCAAAGCGGAATCTAGTCTAGATCTCAGTTTGGACCATTCTCCAATTATTATTACTTATAATGGGCGACCAATGGAGTACAAACAACTTCAATGTTCATATAAATTTTTAAACTGGGATGAGTTTCAAAAAGGTGTCGATGAAGCCCTCAATTATAATGTGCCAGTTAAGAATGAAGCTGACTTGAATGAAGCCATTAATTATTTTACGACAACCATTAAAAACGTAGCTGATCAAATTTATACCGTACCTTCAATGAAAAATAGTGAGCAGTGCCCGCGCAGTATTAGATTTCTTATAAACCAAAAAAGGAAAATAAAAAAATGGCAGCTTAGCCGAGCTCCTTGCGATAAAACAAAACTTAACAGAGTTACAAAATATCTCAAGATAAAGCTAGCGGAGTATAGAAATCGTTCTTTTCATGACTACATCACCAACCTATCAGTAACAGATCATTCGTTATGGTAAGCGACCCGAGGTACCAAGAGACCCATTGTCCATGTTTCGCCCCTAAGAAAAAGTGACAATTCATGTGCTAGAAGCAACATGGAAAAAGCTATCACCTTCTCCGAGTGCTTTAAACAGGTCTTTACACCTAATTCACCAACAGTAAATCCATTAGAAGACGACAGAATCATTAATTTTCTGAATCAAAAGTTATCAAATGAAACTTGTTTTAAAAGGTTTAGAAAATCGGAGAGCACAGCCATGTTCTATACTTAAACTCTAACGTACTGAGTGATTATTATTAATTACTATACTAACTGAGCGTAGTATAACGGAGTATCGGAATATACTACGCGGATAACAGATTATACTAACTGATAACTGATAACGATAACGACGGAGAACGGAGGGAATAGCTTTTAATTAACAATAATGCATCTGACCTTTGCTGGAACGGGTTCTTCTCTCCTGGCACAACACACACACCACTATACACAAAGCGGGTCCAGCGCCTGGCGCGTGGACCCACTGACCTCCTCAGAGGATGATACAATTCTTAATGCTCTCGTTTCAACCCCAGACTGGACCTTATATTGGCATCCCTAGTAGGCGTAGGTGGGGGAGTCCCATTGCACTGGTGGTTATGCAACCCTTTTGACGACAATACCAATTGTCGTTACAATATAAAAGGCAACCAATGAATGCCACAGTATTTATAAGAATATATTTGAGAGAATTTGAAATACTCATTAATCATTATTATTCATTAATCAATTTTCGTTGATTATTCCTCGAAAGACGGGAATATCCAGCAATTTGCCTCAAGCCACAATGTATGCACCACTAGTTCAAAATAAAATTTTAAAATAAATAATATATGGTTAAGACAGATTGAGATGAAATAGAGACTGTTTATAGCACTGACAATGCCGATAAACTGACTGGAACCTGCATTCTTACTCGTCTAGGGCAGAAACCGTGTTATAAATGGAAAACCTTTTTTCGTGTAACCTTATGTATATTTGTAATATGGAAGGCAGCAAGAGAAGGGCATAAAACGCTGTATTTTCACTTAAAAACGTTTTTACATCTATAATTTCAAAAGAAAACTGATATCACTACTGCTTTGCAACCTTATAGGTGCAAGGTCAAGTCTTATAACAACTAAGCCACGTTTCTACTAAGCCTTATCAGTCTACTGTTAATTAAATAAAAAATAAAGCTTTAATATCAAACCATATTAAAAAGCGTTTACAAAACCGTTCAACTACTAATATTTTTGTGATATAGAATGTTTGAATGATTTTTTTGATGAAAATTGAACGTGCGCAAAAATATAAAACTCTTCCTGAAATATGTGATAACACAATCTGCTGAAAATACACTGTTTCAATTTATTTACGGTATTTTGTAAAAAAAATAAAAATGTATTTAATTTAATATTAATTTATTAGCAATTTACAAATTATAGTAAAATTATTTATAGCATTACAGAAATTTGGCTTTAATATATAAATACTAAGTTACATACATAATGCATACATATAAATACAAATCTAAAGTATGTTATTCGTTCATATGCCGAAATCAATATCTAAAAATATCTAATTTTGTACAATTATTTAAAATAACATAATTTAAATTAGTAGTAATTGTAACCGCCATGATGAGCATCATAATAACCGCCTAGGTCGTATGCTGCGTCGTTATAATCCAAGTACTGTGCTTGGTAGTGGGGTTTTGCAACTGAAAAATTGGAATAAAATTTTTAATTGAAAACAACATTATTATATTTGAAAAGCATATTTGGTATTGTCAATAGAATATCAATACATGATAACTCAAAACAATTCATTTAATTTCAATCAAATTGTTATAATATAAATATCCTTTATAAAACAACAATTCAGATATACAAATACAGTTTGTATTATGATCAGTTGTTAACATAATTTTTTAAATTAATTGAGTAATATTTCAATATACGTAAATAAAATAAATAAGTAGGTTAATTATGAGGCCACGTTTTAACCGTTAACTTATAAAATTAAATTTCAAAGGATTTCTAGCATAGAAAGGTTTAACAACAGAAGTCTACTGAAAACTGTGAAAAGATGTTATAAGCAATCAATTAATTTTAATGTTATCAATTAATTTTTGGCGTTTAATCTATTCGTTTCAGAATTTTCGAAATTTGTTTATCGCTTGGAATTCATATGATGATTTTTTCAAATAATAATATAACTTTATTCACAAAGCAAATAACTAAAGAAAAAGCATAATAGTAAAACCAAAAAATTGAATTAATTTTTTACAATAAGGTGGCAAAATTGGTACGGATTTGGGCTAGCTCCAACTAATGGTTTAATGGTTCCTTCGCCGCCTCGGCAAAGTCCGACATCAGGCGGGATGATGCCTAAACGCCTTTCGTTGGCATAGCTGCAACATTTACTCATAACTATTAATATAAACGTAAGGGCTAATATTATCGCACACAGGGGCTAATTTTTCGATAAAATTTTCTGGCAACGCTATGTTACGGTCCTATCACCGTTTGAAACCCCTGATTGCACATCAAACACATAGCTTTTTAAGAGTTTTTAGTACCAATTCATATGAGGATAGGACCGTATTAATATATAATTAACTTCTCGTAGGGTAAGTTATAGTAATCTTTCAGAAATCGAAAATGATAATTTTGCATATCTTTTTACCTTTCTACCTTAGAAAAATTGGATGTATGCGTGTGTGCGTTTTGTGTGGATACATTTTTTTACGAAAATTTAAAAAATATTCGATTCCTACTGATACGGAAACGTGTTGATTAGTTTTTGCCAAAGACATGCTTACCCGTTTCGGAGATACGGGGCTAAATGTACAAAAAATGGCAGTTTTTGAAAGAACAAAGCATCTTGAGTGATTCAAAAAGTGTTTTGCTTGTATTGTCAAAATAATTGTCTTTTTTTAAATTCGCAAAAAACTTTTTATAAATATCGGTAACCATTCCGATTTTATTTTTAATTTCAGCTAATATTCTTAAAAAGCTCCTTTATATATTTGAAATAATATTGCTATAATTTTATATAATTCTGCTTCTGAAATGTGCGACATTATTCTTCATTCTAACTCCTCCTTATATTATGTTTATAAATTACAAATAATGAATGTTGCAGTATTTACAATAATCTATTTGAATGCATTTATTATTCTTTGAATATTTTATTACGCCAGAAGAAGTTCAAGCAATTTGCCTTAAGACATGATGTTTGTTGAAGACTTAACCTAATGTTTCATGAGAGGCAACCCATTGGATTAATAGTTATCATATGATTGAATGTTGGAAGTTATGCCCACGAAAGACTAGTTCTACTTTAAATTATTGGACCGATTCTGCCGCACAACAGATCAATGTTAGGCAAAGCTATGTTACGCTTCAACTTGCATACATTATGCTACTGAATTACTACTACATACTGTCAAAATGCCATGTACTTGCTGTGAATTCAGGTGCTTTACGCATAAACTAAAACATCACTTGTATGTATGAAGCTGGGTCAGAAAAATCATATCATCTAAAATTGTTTTTTTGACATTTGAGTGGTTTCTAGGTTAGATTTTCTATCTGACAACCTGAAAAAACGCTTGACTGCGCAGCAATCACAAGGCTTTGACAATATTTAGAATAATGCAGTATGGAAAGTTCTACATAACATAGCCTTCACATAACATTTGTTTGTCGTACGGCACGGTCAATATATTGAGATTTATAAACTCTAATAAAAAGTTGACATCAAAGCTGCCAGATGTCGCGCATTGACCGTGACGAGAATCGAACCAGCGAACCCGAGACCATTCCAGGACGGACTAGTTGGTGCTAGCCAACGTTTGAACCAATATCGCCACCGCTGAGTCCACTTAAATTATTAAGTTAAATTAATAATCGAAATGAATGTTTTATCGCAATATACTTACCAATTGGTGCTGGTGCATAAACCAATGGTTTGGCGACCACCACTGGCTTGGCGATCACTGGCACGGCTTTGTGCACCGTCGGCGCACTCTTTGACACGACCGCGTTGAATCCGTTCACGGGATCGGCTGTGTAGTCCACTGTTCGCACTGAGCCGTCTGGTTCGACCAACGAGTATTGACCTTTAGAAATGCGGAAATAACGTTATTACAATTCACAAAAGCATAATCTTATATATGAAAACTAGTAGGGCGCATGACATCATGCCTCAAGGCAAATTGCTGGAACTTCCCGTACCAAAAATTATAATTTTTTTAAAAAAGATTAACATTTTTAAAAAAATTTTACTTCGAAAAAATTAGATTTTTGAGAAACTAAAAATTTGACAAAAAATTACTTTCTTTTAAAAAAAAAAATCTTTATTTTGACCTATTTTGGAAATTCTGAACTTTTTCAATGCAAACGTACTGCTTTAATGTCAAAGCGCGTAAGCGCCGCATCTCCGTCTAACGGATGAACATTGGTACGAAACCGATAGGCAAGTTATAGTAATCGCAAAAAAAATCGAAAATGAAAATTTTTATATATCTTTACGTTTCAGAGGTTTCTGAATATTTTGGCATACCTTAGAAAAAATGGATGTATGTGTGTGTGTATGCGTGTATGTGTGTGCGGATACAAATTTTCGTCGACGTTTTCGGGAACACCAATCAACCGATTTGAATAATTTTAAATACATTCGATTCGTATTGATAAGGAGACGTGCTGATTAGTTTTTGGCGAAGGCAGGTTTAGCCGTTCCGAAGATATGGGGCAAAAAGTGCCAAAAATGGTAAATCAGTTTTTAAGAGAACGGAGCGTCCGATTTTAATAATTCAAAACATTTCACTTGTATTGACAAGATGAAGAATTGATCAAATTTTCATGAACGCATTTCTAGCGGTTTCGGAGATCTAATGAAAAAAGTAAAAAAAAAATGCCATCTGGCGGTCAAAAATGATCATTAGACATACGCACTTCACATTATCAGATATTTTATAGAGATTTTAACAATAAGTATAAATTTTGTTTGATGAGTTCCGTACCAATGCTTATCCGTTAGACGACGGCGCGACGCTTACGCGCTTCGATATTTAGTCTCTATGCAGTTAAAGCAGTACGATTGCTTTGAAAAAAAGTTCAGAATTTCCAAAATATTTCAAAATAAACTTTTCTTCAAAAAGTCTTTTTCTCAAATAAAAAGTAAATTTTTGTCAAAAATTTATAGTTTCTCAAACATCTAATTTTTCAGAGTAAATTTTTTTCAAAAATGTTAATATTTAAAAAAAAAAAAATTGGTACGTAAAGTTCCTGCAATTTGCCTTAAGGCACGATGCCATGCGCCCCACTGGTCAATATTTTTGCGATTACTATAACTTACCCTACGGAAAGTTAATGAATCGCAAAATGTGTTAGTAAGCGCATAACTCAACAACGCCTGGACCAATTTGGCCAATTCTTTTTTTAAAATGTTCAAGGATGGTTCTTACGACGAGAAAAAATCGAATAATTGCCGGGATAACCCTAAAAACAGCCCTTCTCTTTTTCACATACAAACGTTTACTAATTAAAACGTAGTATCAATTTGAGCTTTATTGCTATTATATAAAATTCTTATTAAATTACAAGCACTCACTGAGTACTCCTCCTTGACGATTATTCGGATTCAGATAAATCTTTCTGAAGTTTGTTAAGAAAATGTTCTAGGATGTTTGTGATTATAAAGTACTGGTATATATGTGCAATATTGTAGAAATAAACGGAAAAAATAGCAAAAATCGACATGTCATTGTTTGCATTGAAAATAAATGAAAACTATCATCTGCCAAAAATTTCAATTTACTTATGAACCTAGACAACATTAGAATATGTATAATAAATTCATGAATATGAATAAGAAAAATGAAAAGTCTACATTATTAATGCCAAAAAGCAGCTGAGATGTGCCAGAAATTAAAATAATGTAAAATACAGTATATGTAAGGCAGATTGAATGATACACATATAAACAAATATGATGAATTAATCCACTTAAAATATGAAATTAAATATTAATCAGGACCTACCTCTAATGCGATGCATGCGAAAAATACGAGTGCTCGCAACACATGATTCGGATATACTAAATTTTTAATATAGTTTTTTTTTTTCAATATATAATTTCTTTGCATCTTTTACTAATTTATCCACAATAGTTTTAAAATTCGTAAAATTTCACATTTCACTTAACAACAAATGGGAAAGTAAAGATAAATACATACAATTCGGCCCTCATGATATCGATTAGGAAAAGTTTAAGATGCAATTTTGGATATCTTAAATAATAAAATATTAAATTAATTTAATCCAACATGAAGTACCAGTGTTATGTTATGGTTATGGTTATGTTACCGTTTAAAAGACTCCAATTTTCAATATTGTGTGAGAATTGAGACTCATCATTTTATAAAGCAGTTCTACATTTAACATCGCTCATATTATAAATGTATATGTATTTTGGCGTAAAGAGTAATTTAAAAAATAATAATTTTTATTTTTAGGTAAACGGTTAATGTTAGTATATTAGGGTAGGGCGGGGCTAGTTGAGCAAATTTTTACTTAAACGGATGTAGCACCTCAATGAAAAGTCTCAATAAATTGCTATATGACTTAATGGATTTGTTGTTTATCGCTTAACAAAAGTGTTAATACTATTTTTTGGTAATAAGTAAACTTTAAAAGCTACAGCTGTTTAAATGCAAAAAGTCAAGTATGCTCAATGTACCCCATAGGTGAGGCAAGTTGAGCACTAAGAAAGTATAATAAAATTATAGGTTCAATGTCGATTAGTAATGAAATAAAATAAGTTTTTAATAACCAGTTCTATATTTATAGTCTTTATTGACAGAGAAAACAAAACTTATAGTAATTTGTTCTGAATAATTAACGAAAAGTAGAATCAACAGAACAATATCGTAGCTTAGGAATTATTTTACCATTATATTCAGTATTTTTGTTTAAAATCATTATTTCTTTATGTTACTACTCATAGACTTAGCTTAAATCTTAAAAATAATAATCAATTTCTAGAAGTTAATGGTAATTGTCTTAGTGACAAAACAAGTTTAGCAACTATGCTCAACTAACCCCAACTCGGAATTTCAAAATAAAAGTGAGTTAATAAAAAAACCGTGAGAATTATAGCCAGAATCTCTGTGCATATTAAAAGTACTATAATTATATGGAAGAATAAAATTTACCTGGTTAAAAATAAATAACATTTGACTAAACTAGACGAAAACTCGTGATGAATGACTTTTTTACTTTTTGGTCTCAAAATAAACAAAACGGCCGTGAGCCTCACTCATTTGTCCAGCGGCCACTAGCGATCGCGGGATGTTTATTTCTCCCAAACCTCTATCTTTCCGTCATATAATGCCTAAACGGACGGTGAATAGTTTTAGAGATATTTCGATTGCTCAACTTGCCCCTATGCTCAACTAGCCCCGCTCTACCCTACATTATATTAAAAAATTTTAGACATGGTTACAGAACATCGTCTGTCGGGTCATCTAGTTCTAAATACAAAAGGCAACACTGGCTTCCACAAAATGTTGGATTTCAAGCTGATTTAACAAAACTGATTTAACTGATTTAACTGAAAGTCACAATTTCAACAAAAAGGGGATAAAATGTGTCAGTGTAAGTACATCGTATTTATAAATTATATTAATTCATGCAACTTTTGAACTTGAATAAAAATGAATTAATTAGTATATTCATCTTATCTAAATCCTTAGTTTTCTCGAAGATTTAAGTGTCGTGAATCAACAAAAAATTTAAATGATTATGACATTATTAAAATAAAACTATATTTATGACTAAAACTATTTTTAAAAAAATATTGCATTACATAAATGCTAATCTTAATTTTTGCATTTAAGTGATGACATGTGTGCGCTTCTTTATAATTAACGGCAGAATGAAATGTTGTTCGTAACATTTTCTTAAAATACAAAACTAATTCACAAGGGTAAAAAATCATGCTAATGAATTTTTCGTGAAAATCAGCCGCGCCGTTACATTTCATTTGTAATTATTTGTTTAAAAAACATTATTTGATGTTCTAAAAATTGCAAATACATTCGATAGGTTTTGTTCGTGGGGCCATTTCTGCGAACCATAACATAGCTTTATTATAGCAACGAAATGTTATGCTTCTTTCTTGGTACTAAAAACTGTGAGAATGCTGTGTGGTTGCTGTGAAGTCAGACGTAGATTTTAGATTTGAAACATAACCAAAAAAACGCACAAACGTTATCGTAACTGCATTTTGCCATGTGCATTTATAACACATGGTTTTATGTGTAAAACGCCTGATTGCACAGCAAATTCATAGCATTTTTACAGTATTTAGTACCGAGAAACGCGCATAACAAAGCGTTGCCATAACAACACTAAAAGTTGTCAGTATCGGGTGTGCAACATATGTTTTCCAATGCAGTTTTTGCCGCTGAACATGAATATATAGTCAAAATTGGGGCGTCAAACTACAAAATATGAAGCAAAATAAAAAAAGACAATATCTTCGATCTAGTAATTCTTCAGCATGATACTAAAAATCTTTCATTTTAGGTTACACATGTTTGTCCAAATTAGCAGTAATTTGTAATTTACTTACTATTTATTTTATTTTTATTGAATGTTACCTCTAATAACTGAATGTAAGTTTAATCTGATGACGAAACCGCCATTTGTACTTCTAAAAAATCTGTTAAAATAGTCTTTATTATTTTATTTTAATGGGTGTAAAAAATATATTATTTTTTATAATTAGATATAATTTTAGAAATTAAAGTGTACTTTTAGAGTTATTGTAAAATAGAAATAACCTAAAAACAAAGTAAAAAACTATAAAATTTAATCACGTTTAAATGTGAACATAAGGTACAATATTTCATTTTTTAAATTCATATTTTACAAATTTTGTGTTTTCTATTTTTAGTCTATTAATATTCGAAATTTGTTTATTTAAATTTTTTTTATAAAATACAATTTGATTTTATATTTAAATAATAGTTTAAATTGCTACCTTTTACAACATCACCATCTCTAGTTTCATGTTGTGACTTAACATCTCCCGTTGAATGATCTGTGACACCGTAGTTGAAGGCATATTTTGGATGGTCCTGGAATATACAAATATATTTTATTTTTAAAACATTACTTTACAGTAGCAGAAACTACATGTTTTATGGTATTTTATAGTTGTCAATCATAAAGACTAAATCTTGAAACTATGGACTCAGAAAGTGTTGTATTTTTTTCAAGTAACTTATTGTTACCCAATGCATAATTAGTTAATATTAATAACTAATATATTAGAAACACACTACGTAATGAATCATATTCTTAATTGTATTGCATTCTTTTCAATAATAGTCAACATTGTAATAGGCTTTTATCGATAAACTGCACACATCGCAGTAATTCCCATGAAATCCGAACAGGTAAGAACTTGACTTGCACTAACACATATAAAGAAATTATATTGATCATATTCAAAATCAAGGAAAGTCCTACCTTTAACTAAATAAAGTGTTATATAAAGCCGAAATGTAACTTTAAGTGGGAAGTTGTGTAGATTTCGTGTAGATGACAACGTCTCAGAGTTATAAAAATGCGAGAAAATAATTTTTTACGTGAAGAATATTCTGTTTAATTTGAATTTATTATGATATTTACTATAACATCTGTAGGAAGTAGTTATGAATCTAAATATATAAAAACCATTGGATGAAAATATAAACAATTTATTAATTACAACATTTTATGATAAATAAAAATGACAAATCATTTTGTTTTTCCTCCGTGTCTAGCCCACACATCTAACGAAATCGGTTGATGTCCAACAATATATATGCGTGTGTGTGCGTCTTAAAAAATTGGTATATACATTAAAAACTTGGGTAATTTCTTAAATTTCGTATGAAATTAATTTTTATATCTAGGAAAGTTTTAGTTTACAAAAATTTAATCACCAATAAATATACTTTGAAAAAGTTCAGGAATTATTGTAAAACATTTTTCATTTTATAGTTTTTTTCCAAAGAAACAAACTATAATACCGATCATTTCGCAATCATTATTGACTAAAATGAAACCATTTTCATATTTTTCAAAATCGCCGTAGCTATCTTCGAAAAATTGTCTAGACGGCAAAATTTTCGCTCACATTTTTTATGCCAACGATTCAGATAGTCTCAAAACGTCGAGAAATCATAAATTGCGGACATCGGATTTTATAACAGAAATGTGACTTTTTCGAGCAGTTTTTACTATTATTAGTAATAGACACTTGAGTTCACTACAATTGAGAATTAAATTACATTGTTATTATTACATTTAATTAAATACAACTTTAAGGTATTTATGGAAATAATTATTGTTTTATAGTGATATAAAATTGTATTATGTCATATAAATAAATTATATAAATATTTACATTTATTATATTTTCAATTGATTGCGGTTTGTATTTAGTGAATATTTAAAAACTTTATTTAATTTTATTTTTCAACCAATAGAAATATTTTTTTTAATACGATGACTTTTCTTAATGTTGAATGAATACTAGATAATTATTGTCATTATTGTAGACAACCAAGCAATTGAAAAAAAAAATAATAAGAAAATAGTTATTTACAATTATTTAACAAAAGAAACGTTTCTTGTACCTATTTAAATCTTCTGATATAATAGAATATGACGAATACATTATTTTAATATAATATGATCAAACATTGCATAGTGTATGTCTACTCATTTTATTTTTAATTTTTGTAAGAGCGATGGTTTATTGGTTCGGGTTTTAGTAAAAAATTATAATGCTCTTTTTGAACTTACATTAATATAACCCTAAAGTGCAATTTAGCATCTGTTTAAGTGCTTCCTCAAAATATTCATTTTTCCAAAATATTAATTAGTTGCTAATATATTTGGTTATTCATTACAAAATTACTTTACTTATACTTTTCAAACCGCCATTACACTTTATAGCTACACGACAGACGTTCGATACACAAATAACGACGGAAGTACCGCAAGACTACATTCTGGGGCCGTCACTGTTTAATGGTTGCATGCACGACAAAAACATGAATTTACTGATATTCGCCGACGATGCTGTCATTTACACATCATCCAGATCACCAAAAATACTGAATACAAAAAAAAAACACCTTGACACACTTTGTCAGACATTGACAGACTTTACACACAGATGGCAAATCTAAACCAACCCGCAAAAGACGTAGGCCATTCTGTTTACAAAGAGTAAAAGCAAGGCTAATATACTGATAGACACTGACAAAATAAAAGTATTGGACCATAAAGTTGAGTGGTCCAAGGAGGTGAAATACTTCGGCCTAACCATGGACTAAGCTTCACGAAACATTAAATTTGAACAGATGTTTAGGATGATGAATCTACTGATACTAAATGGACAATATACCTGATTATCCTTATTGACCCATAGCTTTAATTAGAACTCTATTCATTTTGCTAAATATTGTTCTGTGATATTTTTCAAGAACTGTCTTATTCTTTTAACTAACTAACTAACTTATTCTTTTTCACATGTCCATGATATATTAAATATCATTCTATATAAAATCAATTGAAGCAGTATATTTAATTTTTGAAAGAGTAATACCTGAGCATAAAAAACCCTATGTAACACCTTTAAAGTGTAAACTACATTATGAAACATATATTTGTAAATTGAAATTGAAAATTTAATTTAGTTTGGTTATATAATAACTATTAATAAATATAATTAATTTGTTTAAAGCGGTCGTGGCCGAGTGGTTAAGGCGTCTGACTCGAAATCAGATTCCCTCTGGGAGCGTAGGTTCGAATCCTGCCGGCCGCGTTTATTTTTGTTTCAGTTTTTTGATCAAGAACTGATGATTTTGAGTAAATTTTTTCAGTACTATTACTTGGATAATTTAATTATCCATTTACTAATAAAGAAATCCTTTCAATAAAAAAAGTCAACATTATGTTATAGAATATATTGATATAACTAATTAGTATAACTAATTAATAAAATATTACTAATACCAGTTAATGAACATTTACTTATTCACGTATAAATACTAAATGTAAGTGGTATTTTGCCTTAATACTAGTTGCATAAACTTCCTGAAATGTATTTAATACACAAAGACTTAATAAATAAGAAAGCCTTATTAGAGTATTAACTTGTAAGAAACCATGTAAGAAAGATATTGGTTGGGAATGGAGAAAAAAACTAAAACGTTACGGCCCTACGACAAATAGTTTAATGTTAAAAATTCAAAGTTTGAGAAAATATTATAGACAAAATTTGTGTCAAATTCGTTTTTGTGTTGTGATGAGTCAAACATTATCAATTCATAAAAATTTATAATAATATTAGGTTGTCAAGAATCTCCCTTCCGCTTTTTTGCTATTGGTTTATAATACAAAAAGGCGAAAGGGAGATATTTGACAACCTAATAATATCGGAAAAATAGGGCATACAAGCACGTGTCTGTGCAATATAATCAATATAACTACAATTAATTTAAATGTGTTTGAGAAAATTCTATTCGATATCGTAATGTTTAGATTTAATCGAAAGCGTTAACTTGAAATAAACAGTTGAGCATTTTGTCAAAATATCTAAAATTCATTTTCGATTGATTAAATCAATTTTTACACATTTTGGAAAGTTCATGCAACTTGCCTTAAGATGCCACTTTCAACTAGTTTTGAATTAAACGACATATTGTAGGTACTTTAAGACCACGATTTCTATAGCCAAATTAAGTTACATAAAATCATCTAATGTCAACTAGTGCTAACTTTTGATTATTAACTTAGCTAAACCGATTTCAAATATTGAATTAGCCATTCGAAGTAACTCGATAAGGACTAGCGTTGATTAGCTATGTGCAAATCAACGCTAGTCCTTCGGGAATCGTGCTACATAGTTTTTGGTAAAGATCGGTCTGATCGTTTCTTCGTAATTCATTGTTATAAATTATTTTTTGGTGGTGTTAAAATACTAAAACATTTGATTTAGATTAGACACACACGGGAAGTCGTTTAATTATAAAAATAACTAAAGTTTCAATTAATCATCAGTGCATCAATATATAGATTAAAAAAATTATTTAAATTATATCAAAAAAAATCATAATTTTGTAAATAAAATATACTGTATAACATACAAATTGCAACCCCTTACCATGTAGCAGTCGTGGCCGAGTGGTTAAGGCGTCTGACTCGAAATCAGATTCCCTCTGGGAGCGTAGGTTCGAATCCTACCGGCTGCGAAAATTTTTGTATATTTTTTTTGCTTAAGAATAAAAGTAAAAATATTCTGATCTTTTGGCAACACTTAATAATTTATTTTAATCGTAAATTCTATTATAAAATGAGCATTAACATAAATTCAAATCTTCGCGAATAATTATAGAGATTATAGCGGGATTCACTATAGGCAGTAGGGCTATTTATGATAAACAATCAACAACAAATTATCAATATTGTCATACAAAATTATCGACCCTTAAAAAGTGATAGCAACACAATTTCATTGACAATTAAAAAATAAATAATTAAAAAGCAGAAGGAATGATAATTTTTACATACATTATTTTTGATTGATACAATAATGACCCAGCGGTTTCGAAGATCCAATAATAAAAAGTAAAAAAATGCGCTAATTATCATATATTTTACAGAATTTTCAAAATATTTTGATTTTCTTTTAATAACTGGCTGTATGACAAATTATAAAATTTTATTAATTTTAACATAACCCGGCGTCAAAATAAATAGCGCGGGTGCAATATTTATTGTTTTCTCCTTTATGCTACTTTTCTTTTTGCGGATATTCATGAAAAATTCAATAAAGTGATTGTGTACATATACGAGTATATGCATAAATTTATATTTATATGCACATTTAATGGCAAAATGAGCGTTTTGCAAAAATTTGCGCATTACATCATTGTTCACGCCTCTCACTAATTTTTTGAATATAAATGGCATTTGTGGACTAACATTACGGTAAAATTTTAATACTTAGTGAAAGTAAACAATGAAATTGTTTACTTACTAAACAATGAAAATGAAAATTAAAAAAATATTCAAGAAA